GTAATATAAGATTCTAGTAATCTTCCAAAACCAATAGTAATTATTTTTTATTACATAGGTGGTAATTTGATTACCGACATTTTCTTAAGTATTTTAAGATTACTTGGTAATCTTAATTTTGTTACAGTTTTACTCTCAACTATTAATTTTTTTGGACAATAATACCCTTATTTTGAAATTAATTTACATAAACCTACCATTACAATGTTACCCCTAATAATTAAGGGTTCGTTTGGTTTGTTATTTTGGATAGGATTTTGGAAATAATATTGGATAGTTGAATAGGGTGATTATTACGAGGTAAAATTTAAAAATTAACAAAAAAGCCCCATAGGTTTGCTAATTTAACTAAACACCCCAATATATAAATTTTTTGTAAAATAACAAAAACACCCCCACCCACCCACAGTGCCAGATTCTGGCCACCACTGCCGGAATCTGGTCAGAATCTGGCGTTACAATGCAGACCGGTCGGATCTGGCTAGACGTGCGTCGATCTAGCCTTTTATGGCTAGATCCACCATGAATCTAGTCGGAAAAGGTCAGATCAACGGTCAGATCTAGCCGTCAACTGCTGCAAAAGGCCAGATCGGCGAATTATCGGCCAGTTTTGATCGTTTGTAGGCCGTTGTGACAGATTTCGGCTACCACCGACGATGTTTGCCGAAATTTGGCAACTATGGGTGGGTGGGGTTATTTTTGTTAATTTTTAAACCTTTTTTTGGGGGTATTTAATGAAATTAATAAACTTAAGGGGTCTAAAAGTAATTAAAAAAATAATAGTATTTCCTAAATAATTAAACAAACAAATATTTTGGGAATATGATTGGGAATAGGGTATGAAATAATAAACCAAATGCATCATAAGTTTTTAGACACTAATGCCTTTGTATTTAAAACAAATTGTAGGCCACCCATGACTACTGCCGCCCGCCAGCCACCACCGCTGCCCGTTGGCCACTGCCGATTGACGTCGATGGAACGACAGACGATCAGCCAGATCTGGCTGACCGTGCACTGATCTGGCAATTTCCTGTCGGATCGATAGTTGAAAACGGCCAGATGGCCATAGATCTGGTAAAAAACGACCAGATCTATTTTGATCGGTGCACGACCTGCCAAATCTAGTCGGTTGTGCATCGTTTTGGCCACTATCATCTCCTACGGTGGTGATGCCCGACGGCCAATAGTGGCTTGGTATGGGTGGGGGTGATTTTGTTAGAAATTAAACTTTTATGTGGTTAACGTGTTTTAGCAAAATCTCAATTGTAGGGGGTTAAAAGGAATGATTTAAAAAATAATAATAAAAAATATTATATTAATATTTAAAAAGGAAGGCAATTTAGTAATTTATATAACGTATCTACTAATTTATTTCTCCCAACTAAGCATATAAATATAATATACCCACCAATTTGTTTGAACCTAACCAAACACATTTCTCTAAACATTCTTAGTAATCTTTAAGGTAATCTATCTTTTCATTAATATAACATTCTCAATAATACAACAATCCCTGAACCAAACATGCTCTAAGGGTTGTTTGTTTATTCTTCATAAATCTTAATGTAGCCAATTTTAATAAATTAAGATATTTTTTGCTTGTTTTGTTATTGAGTTATATTTGATAAACAAATATAATCAAAAAGCCAAAAATATTTGGCTTTTATCTAAAGACAAGAACATCTTAATTACTAATAAATTTCTTTGGCCAACAATACACCTATTATATTTATATAATTCCAATTCTAACAAATCCCTTATATTTTTTATGTTTTTGGTCTTATTTAATTTTTATTTTTATTTTTTTTGCTATAAATAAATTTTTAATATTATATCAAACATAATTTTTAAAATTATATAGTTATCTCTAATTTATAACATTTGTTTTGTTTTGATTTCCATAATTTTATAATTTAAAATTGTTCAAAACATGTAAACAAATATTATTAAATACTTAAGATATTTACTACATATAAAAACAAACAATTCAACATTATGATCATACATTGAAAGATAAAAAACAAATATATCCATCATACTTGTAAATTCAAACAAAAATAGCTAACAAACACATTCAACTTTTAGACAATGATTTAAAACCCAAGCTGAACTGGCCGATCAGACCCAGAACCGACACTGACTCTGGTCTAAGTACCCCCCAAACCTGGGAATAGCCACTGGCCCAGATTGGGTCGGATTTGGACTGGTAGAATAGTAACAAACCACCGATCCAACCGGCCCGGTGCCTAAACTGGGTCACCAAATTTTGGCAGCTTCCAATGCCAACGATCCCATTTGAAATGTAATGATTGCTTTCTACTCATATTCTTATAAAATATGCATAGTAAAATACATGTAAAATAGCATAAAAAAGTTGGGCTCAAATTTTTCTTTTATTAAACATATACATTCTTTGTACAAAACTCATATCATATACAAAACTATGAACAATAAGGTGGACAGTGTAGCCTTTTCCCCTCGCTTGCCGACATCCATCCGACCGTGTCCTCACCTAGATCCTATAAAAACATAGGAAACAACAGGGTGAGCACAAAACAATGCTCAGTAAGTAGATCCTCTACTCATCTATCCCCGTAACTCTTTCTTTTCAATTCTTTCCTTACCATTCTCGTTTACTCTCTCTGCTTTCTCTTTCAATTTCTCTCTCTCTCTCTGTTCCTCTTTTCTACAAACTCTCTTTAGTAAGTCACGGCCCCATCTTACCAGAGGCACGGCTGGGACTCGTTCCCACTCTCCGTGACTTCTACTTATTCTAGCCGATCGAACTCGGTTATGCATGGATTCGAAACCCTTGGCCATGTGAGTACATAATCTCTCTCTCGGGTAAACTCGGGTATAGCCCTCATCCGCATGCATTCTCATGGGCTACACCACTTCTCTCTCATACTCGTGCCGCTCTCTCAATGCGGCGTACATGCGGGAATACTCTACCCATTACTCACGGGTTCCCCATCGCACAACCTACTCTATTCTCTTGTCTAGCACTACTTTCTCTTTGATCTCTAGTGCTCATTCTCTCTCTTTCTCTTTACTCTTAAAGTAGCTTATACTCAATTTCTCTACTCTTTCTCTACTCTCTTCTCTCTTCTCTAGTGCATAATCAATGCATAATGAATGCATATAGATGACTCATGCTCATTAATGCACTTATGAGATGCAATTATGCCATGTAGCAAAAATTAAGGCTTTCTACTCTTACTCATGCTTCTCTTGAGCATTTCATCATACAACTCATGTGCATATAAAACTCTACTTTAACTATAGCTTTTCTCTTTTCTTTAATTATCCAAAATGGGAGAGAGGCTCCCTTATACTCTCTAATTTCCCTGTCAAAGGAAAACACTTCTATAAGTTTGCTCAAAACTTCATTCCACTTCAATCAAACTCAACCCAACATCAAGCAATCTCAACACTTCTCATATTTAAGTATATGCAACAACAAGCATAAATAGCATCCATCTCATCTCAATTGATATAATGAATAAACATTCATACATAAATCTCCATTCAAAGGAGTTCTTAAATCTCACTTGGGTTGGATTTACTTACCTTGTGAGGAAAATGGCTTCTTTAGCACTTCTCCTTCCCTTTTGAATCTTGTCTCCTCTCTACAACTTTAAACAACACAACAACATACGACTCTAGCCAAAATAAGAAAATTCTCATCTAAAGCAAGAATCCTTACCTTAGGATACTTTAGATTAAACTTCTACAAAAAAAAAACTACTCAAAAAGTCCTTAGAAATCCTTGGAAGATTGAAGGAAATTTGAGAGGAAAATAGAGAATGGAAGAGGCGGTGGAAATGGATGAAATGAAGGGTTATCTACACTTAACCCTTTTTAGTTTCAACTTATACACAAACATCCCTATTTTGCCCTTGCTCTTTCTTGGAAATTCCATCCATATCCTTTGATTCCTTACAATCACACCCCCATACTAACATATTCTTCATGAAATTTCCTTATATTTTATTCCCTACTTTTCCCGCTAATTAGGGATAGAATTGTCAAATTGCCCTTAAGGGAAAAAATATCTAAAACTTAATAAAACTTTTCAGTTGACCTGTCGCCGCGGCGAAACACTCCAGTAGCTACTCCATGGGCTGCAGCACCTCTTCGCCGCGGCGAAGCTTATTCTTCGCCTTGGCGAAGCCTGTAACCCCAAAATTTCGCCAAGTCTTCATAATTTTCAGGGCAACCACTCAGCCAAACCAAACCAATACATCTATTCAACCAAGGACCAACTAAACAAAATAACAACATATAAACTTACTTGAAGCTGAACCAATAAACGTTTAAGCAATACGGCGAATCTTAACTACGTACCTCAAGTGGGGCGTTACATGACACCACCACCATGATCATCTTCATCTCCACATCAAAATCTCCATCATCCGAAAGTCCAATTGGCCGCTGATCGTCATCGCCGCCACCTGTTTGCTTCGCGAAAATCGGCAACTTCCTCCCTAATTCTTGCAGATTCCGACGCCAACCACCCCATCTTTATCTCCGCATCAAAACCCCCATCATCTTGAACTCCGATTGGCCACCTATCGTCGTCGTTGTCACTTGTTGGCTTTGTGGGTTGTTACTCAAATCGCATGGGTGTGTTTGCTAAATTTTAAATCTGTAGGGACTGATTAAAATTTTGTAGGAGTATGTTTGCTGGATTTCAAAATTGTTAGACATGCTAGTGTCATTGGTCGAATCGATTGGTCCAACCGATCAGACTGAAAACCCAAGGAATTGGCCCGTTGACTAGTTCAAGGGGCGGACCACCTAAGGCTCATGATAAAATAATTATTTAGCCCAATTGTATTTTATTAATCAAAAGCTTAACCAAATAAAATGAATATTGGTCTAAATTTTGGTTTTCTTTAGCCCAATGGATCCAAGAACTGACCCGGTTTATCCATTTTTCTTTTTAAGATAAAAAAAGAAAACAAAGCTCATGATTGAAAACGTGGTCCCCTGACTAGAAAATAGTTTCTGCTGAGTCAAAGAATCAGCATCCACTTCACAAGATCAACACTACTCTCTCTCGTTTCTCTTATCTGCTTATTCTAACAAGTGTTACTTCTGTGTAGTAATGGCTTCTTTGGTGGGGCAACTTGTGTTTGCCTTAGAAGGCCCAAATGGATATAAAGTTTGGGAAGATCAGTCTTTCATCAAGTGGAATAAGAGAGATCCTCATGTCACTTTGCGTTGCCATGATTCTGTTGAAGGTCAACCATCTTTCCCATTCTCATCTCTATTGGTTTGTTTGTTTTTGTTTTTTTGATCATTTTTAAGTTTTAGCAAATGGCGTTCTGAGTATATTTCGATTCGTGGAGACTGCTACTGATAGAAATCCCGGTATTGATACCGGAATTAGAGGTTTTATTAACCACATTTGGTGGCTTTTACCTTACTGGCCCGAGTAATTTGTCTAGTAGGTTGGACAAAATTAACAAGTTTCATTTCCCAGTAATGGTACCGCGGGGGCCAGGAACATAGTATGCCAAATTGTAGTTTCTGAGGTTGTGATTCTATTCTGTTAGCATTGGTACTGTTTTGATAACTACCTGATGTTTTTGGAAGTTTTGCTCGTTGTTGTGGTTGAGTTTAGTTAAAACTGTCTGATCAGACAAATGGGCTCAAATTTAATTAGTCTATGTTGCAGTATTCAGCTCAAGTTCAACCTTTTTATTTCATTCACTCGTCTCTTGCACAAATACTAGCAACCTGATCCTTTTTGGAAAATTTCTTTTCTGGCTAATCTCTTTTGAAGTTTTAAACTTAACTGTAAAATGTAAATGGGGTTGAAAATAAATTCAGATTTGGTGTATACGTGTGCAGTATTCAATTCAATTATTCTTGATATTTGTTGGTGTCTATCTCCTTTTTTTTTTTTTTTTTTGAAATTTGACATTTTGTTTATCTATAGGTTCTCTTAGATACTGGTATGAACGCAATAAAGTGGATCTTTCTGCATCCAAAACTGCTGTTTGGGATGACGAAGCTGTTCAAGGAGCTCTTGACTGTGCTGGGTTTTGGGTTCAAGGCTTGCCTTTCGTCAAGTCTTTGTCTGGTTATTGGAAATTTTTCTTGGCTCCTAGTCCTACCAGTGTTCCTATGAATTTTTATGACAGTGTATTTCAAGATTCTGAGTGGGACAAATTACCTGGTAAACATTTAATGCCTTTTATTTTATTCTTTTTCCGTTTCTAATTTTCAATTTCAATCAAATCTGACATGCAATTATGTCGTGTTTTATAATTGCATCTTCTATATTATCTTCTTGTCTGGTACTTAGAAATGCTCCCCGGAATTCTCATAAGTTTATTTCTTCCCCTAATTGGAGCAGTTCCTTCCAACTGGCAGATGCATGGGTTCGATCGCCCAATTTATACCAATGTTGTGTATCCATTTCCGCTTGATCCTCCTCATACTTCTGCTGATAATCCTACTGGTTGCTATAGGACTTACTTTCACATTCCTAAAGAATGGCAAGGTATTATATACTTAAATGTGGTAGTGACTTTTGTTATGTGTTCTAATGCTTCTTGATCCTTGTTTATTTGTTCTTTTGCTTATTTTGTGCTTCAGTGATTATTAAACATTTGATCTAAGTTTGGCAGTTCTTATCCTTTCTGCATCTAAGGTTTACACTCAGATGAACTCTTAACTGCTCTATCTATGAACAACTTGCCCTCTGAACTTTTCATGGGAACAATGCCCATAAAACACTTGGCTGTAATCCTAGATTATCCCTCTTGACAGAAAATTCTGTTTAAACTTTTACTTATGTGTTATACCAGGTTGAACAAGTTCATTCCTGACAAATGTCTTTAGCAGATAGCACTAATTGGCAAGTCCATATTCTGTCTCTCAACTTGTTTTTTATTAGTGGTCTTTGATTTTTGAAATGGATTGGAAAAGAGTAGGAGAGGAATTTGGTGCTTAGATATAAAACATCTGGTCTTTTTTAGTCTACATGTTTTAGTCCAAGGTTCTAATCTTCAAAAAGTTTAATGCTTTAATATAACGTTGGAATCTAACATTTAACAGAGATATTCATAGGCTATATTGTGAAGGGTAAAATTGATTGTCACAAGGAAGAAGTACATGTTTGACTTGCTACAAATTTACATTGGCCAAATGTTCCTCACATGAGCTAAGGCATGCGATGTTTGTGACTCTTTAGGTTATCTGAAAATATTGATAGAAGAGGCAGTTTTGGGATTTTTTGTTTGGGGAATTGATTCAATTTGAAATTACAAGAGAATTCAATTTTCTCTTGAAGTATTTTTTTTTTTTTTTGGTATGTTTCATACTTAGAAGATATGCTTGTATGGTAATTCAAATTTGAATATGTTTATTTCCAGTGTTTACATGAATATGATAGTTCCCATTTCTCTCTCTCTCTCTCTCACAGACACACACATGCACGCGCGCGCACACACATACACGTGCAAACAATCACCCCAAACTCCTCCCACTAATTCGTACGTGGCACACATTTCACAAATCGTGGAACTTTGAAAGTTTATTATTTAAGCAGGTCGTAGACTATTCTTGCACTTTGAAGCTGTTGACTCGGCATTCTGCACATGGATCAATGGAGTGCCTGTTGGATATAGGTACTTATTGCATGTTTACAAGGAAATATTTTTTGAATTATAGTAATTATTATACTAATAGGAGGTAGGTTTCTTCTTTTCAATGATCCATTGTTTTGCCTTCATAGTGAATGTTAGCAATATCATCAGTATGTATATGTAGTTTATGTAGATAAAATATCTATTCATGAAAAGTTTGGTGATCTAAGCTGGGGTGCAATTAGGCAATTTATGCTGTTTCCTATAAGTAAAGAAAAAAAGAAAAAACACACACACACACACAAATTTAACGGAACCTATAATCAATGGATAGTATGTGATGAATGAATCACCTTACATTTTACACCAGAAATTATAATAACGTTTAATACCTTAAATAACAGTATGATATAAACTCTTAAACCATCATTGAGCTAGAGTTCATATATCGTTTTAATGAATCTCATTTACTCATGCAGTTGACATTGGAGTTGTTCAATTGTTTCCTATACACTTTTCTACTTCAGTTTCTTCATTACACACTAAAACTATGTTTTAGAGATGATCACACTTGGAGATCTAGTTGAGAAAAGGAAAAACAATCTAAATAATTTATAGTATAAAGACTCAATCTGAAGGTTGTCTATCACAGATTTGCTAGTTGAGCCTTATTTGCTTTAATATAAAAAATTAATTGCTGAGTCCAAAGGATATATATGGAGATCATTGAGGTATACTGCTGGGTACTGTATTAAAAAGTTATGGTTTATATGTCTGGGTGCCCTTGGTTACTGATAAACGTTTGATGGGAATTAACAGACTTGTTTGTGTTGTGCTAGGTCAGTCAGGATAGTAGACTACCTGCGGAGTTTGAAATTACGGACAACTGTTATCCATGTAGTTCAGACAAGCATAATGTTCTAGCAGTTCAAGTTTTTAGATGGAGTGATGGTTCTTACCTTGAAGATCAAGATCATTGGTGGTTATCTGGTATTCATCGTGATGTGCTTCTTCTAGCGAAGCCACGGGTTTGTTCCTTTGCATCCCTTTAATTAGCACTGCTGTTTTCTAATTAAAACCTAATACTATCTTGCTCTTGTTGAGCACTATTTAGCCATGAGACTCTATTTAGCCCACTAGACACTAGAAAACACTATCTAGTGCACTAGATGGTACTCAATGTCTTATGCACACAATGGTGTTCAACAAGTGTTAAATGTTGTTAACTGCGTGCTAGACAGGTTTAATGTATAGAGGAGCATTTTCATTCTTTGTGGTCATTATTTGACTATATATGCAAGAATTTTGAAACTGGCTATTTTTCAATTATGAACTATTTTTTTATTGGAAGTAAGGTCTTTACCCTCTTAGGCCATTTAACTTCAAGTTTCAGCCAAAGGGGAGGCTTTCTATTCNTGGTAACAGTGGAGTGGAGGCGCTTGGAAAGTAAGAAAGTGACTTTGGAGTGGCGCGTGGAGAGGGCGGTGATAGCGCGTGTTAGGGTTTGAGCCATTGTTTGTTGCACAGAGTGAGATAGAAACGAGGGTTTTGGAGAGAAGAATGAAGATGAGGGTTTTCGTAAGGTACATAGGGTATCTATCTTTTTTTTTTTTTTTTGTTTAAGGTCTTTGTGATAGGCTTTTGGTTTGGGCTGTGAATTGGGCTTGGGCTTGCCCAAGACGACAAAACACATACATACTTGAGGCTGCTTTACACTTTCAATTTTTGTCTTTTGAATTTTGTTATGGAAAATGATTTTTAGACACACCTTTTATTTTAGTGGCTGCTATTTAACCACCCCTAGAATTTTATTGTTTGGACAATTTTACCTTTAAATAAAAAATCATTATAAGAGATAACATTTCTTTTATGTACATTTTTATTGACCATAAACTCTAAACTGCAAATCGAACTTCCCCATTTATTATAAACTTTTGTTTCATATCAAATTATGTTTGTTTGATAAATGATTTTGAACCCCTTACGCCATCCCGCCCCCAAAGAGCAGGGGTGTTACCGAGCTGAGCCAAGTTAACCTTTCAGAAGCTCGAGCTCGACTCGTCATAAATAGGAATAGCACGAGCTCGATAGAAAAAATAGGGCTCGAGCTTGAACTTGATAGAAAAAATCATAATTTTTATATTAATTATAAAAATTTTATCTCATTACTTTAAGAACATGTAAGGCCTTTTTCCAAACGGGTGGTGAGCAGTTGGGTATGGCCTTTTTTCAAACATAAAAATATCTTTTTTCCAGCAATCAATTTTTACTTTAAGAACAAATAACAATCTTACAACAAATAAACAACAAATATAGTAATATACAACAAATACACAACATGTAGAGTTCGGGAATCGAGAGAAGATAAAAGAGAGCACGCAAAAATTAAAGTACATTTGTCATCGGGTCAGGGAATTCGGTTAAGAATCTCTATTATTGGAGTCATAGCGGTCACGGTGAATCAAGAGAGTGTTTGTCTGTCGCGATTTGAGAATTGAAATTGAATTGCATTTAAGGTTCAATCGATAGAATTTGGATTTTACATTTGGGAAAATGAAAAATTACATAAACCTCCCTCATAGTTGCATAAACCTCCCTTTTGAGCTCTTATAAGCTTGCGAGCCGCTCCAGCCAAGTAATGGGTGACTTGGGCTCGACTCAAACCGGAACTCAAGTCGCTCAAGCTCCAACTCAACTCGAACCAATCTCGAGCAACTCGCAAGCCGGTTTGAGTCACAACTCTATCAAAGACCCTGTCACGGTAGAGACTTGAACTTGGACATTGCCAAGATTGAATGAGCTTTATTTTATTAGCAATATCTTATAGCTTGGCACCAAAATCGTTGAGGATCAAATGAGTGATAAGGAGTCCCAAAAATCTTGGAGTGATAAGGTTGAAAATCCTTACAATGATCTCAAAATCTGTGGAGAAAATTTGAGTGATCAAGAAGATTTGGGGTCAACAAATTCAAACCAAAAAGATAGTCCAAGAAGATGAGAAGATCATGCATGAATCACCAGCACTATTGGATCTGTCGGACATTTGAAAATAACGCACCAGATCAAATTCAAGTCCAAGTGCATTCTGTTCAGCAATAGAGTTCTTATGTAAATAATGCAGGGTTGTTAATTTCTTTATTTTATACATAAATCATTGTATCAACAATGCTCACGTTAAGAGTGTAATATGTTTGATTCAACAAAGAACAAAACCACATAGTTTTTTTAATTCTCTTCTTGGTATCAGAGCCATTGTGAGCACTCAGCACAACACAACACACTCTTCTCTTCCACCATGACTTCACTATCTCTTAATGTTGGCAACTTCATCACAATCAGACCCACCTCTCGAAACAATTATCACTTGTGGCGTGAACAAGCCTTGGCTCTTATAGAAAGCCAATAATTGGTTGGCCTTCTCACTAATGAAGACCCTACTCCCACCAAATACACCACACCTGATCCAACTGACACTACAAATGCAGAAAATTTTATACTGAAACTAATAAATAACTTCATTGCTTGGAGAAAGTCTGATCGTCTCCTTTGTGGGTGGATCATTAGAATACTCTCAGAAGATACTCTTGGACTCGTTGTCAGCTTAGATACAGCCCATGCAGTATGGGAAGCACTCAAAGACCAATATGCTCAAGACTAGCAAGAACGCAAATTCGCATTACGTCAATAGGTAACATATCTACGCAAAGAAGATGACAACACCATTGGGGAACATCTTCGTACCTTCAAAGGACTATGTGACAGCCTTGCAACCATTGGGAAAATTGTTCTTGACAAAGAAAAAGTTTTTTGCCTTCTCACTAGTCTCGACCCTCAGTATGAAACCTTCACAACTACCAAGCTAAAGCCTCCACGACCATCATACTTTGAACTGGTCTCACAACTTCAAAACTTTGATCAGTGATGCAATTGGTTCTCTAACTGTGTAGATGTTCCAACTTCACAATTCACTCCTCATTTGGCATTCTATGGTCAACAGCAACAGCGCACACAACAGCCTTTCTTAGGATATTGTGGCAACTCACAACAGTTCACATCCGCTAGACGTAGATTCCAAGCACAACAACTGAGGAACCAAAATCAAAATTTCTCAGATAACCCTACTTTTTCCACTCAACAACGTTGTCCTCCACCACCAGGTGAATGTTGCATGACTTATGTTGAAAGAAATCTATATTGTGAAGAGCAATGCTAATACTGTGGGAAAGTGGGTCATATTACCAAGATCTGCTGGTGGATACCCAAAAAGTCTCATTAGAATGAGGAGATTCCTCAAGCTCTTGTAGCTTTTACCTTAGACAATGCTGTTTTTGATATATAGTGGACATCTAACACTGGAGCTTCTAATCACATAACTAGTAAGTCAGGTATGTTGTCTAATAGTCACAAATATTTGGGATTTGATTCAGTGATTATTGGAGACGAATCTTCATTGCCTATTGTTGGAGTTGGTGATACAAGTATAAAACAAAATGCAACTACTTTACCTCTTCAAAATGTACTATTAGTGTCAAAAATTTAACTAAGAATTTACTATATGTTAGCTAATTATCTACTCAATTTCCTATCAATTGTGAATTTTTTGATGTTGATTTTTGTGTTAAGGAACTAGAAACAAGATAACTGATGATAAAAGAGAGATGTAAGGGTGATCTCTGTGTTCTCTCAATCTCACCAGAATTGCTTTCTCTCATCGTTTTAAATTCGGCTCAGCAGAAATTTGGCATCAATGTTTAAGACATCCACAATCTTTAGTGGTACAATTATTAAAAAATAAGTGGTTAATTGAAGTTATAGGAGCTACCAAAGTTAAACATCTTTGTGATAGTTGTGAATTAGGAAAGTTTAGCAAATTACCGTTTTCTTGTTCTACACATTCAAGTACTGCTGTCTTTGATAAAATTCATTGTGATTTGTGGGATCCTGTTCCAGTTTTATCTATTGCAAAATTTAAATATTATGCTTGTTTAGTAGATGATTTTTCTAAATATACATGGATTATTCCTCTGATTTTTTTTATGCATATTTAGCTTTTGAAAAATATGTGGTGAGAGCGAGACTAGGGGTGAGCATGGGTAGCGAGTAGAACCGAAACCTGCGGGTAGAATCGTAATCAGAATCTACCTAGAACCGACACTGTTTGGGTAGGATCTGGTTCCATTTTATTGGAATTGACATTGTGAGGTTCTGATTCTGGTTCCTACAGGTTTTAGAATTGAAACCAGAATTAGAATCGAAACCTGGGAAAACAACCTGAAGTGGGTACCCGACTTTGAACCTATTTGTGTTTTGGTTTTAATTAAGAAATTTTATGTGAATTGTGATGAATTGATTGAATTCAAGTGTTGCCTAGAGATTAGAGGATTTATGAGTCACATTGGACACTAATGAATGAGTAATCAAAAGTTGAAAATTACTAAATATAGGTTTTCTTAATTTGTTAGGGGTGTATTTGTAAACTTTTAAGGTATTTTTGTCATTTTTTAAACTAATAAGGGGTAATTGATTTTTTGGGTAAGGAACAAAATTGGAACCGAAACCTGGACCTGCATTTCAGGTTTCGATTCCTTGAATTTAAGAACCAGAACCGTTTTTTTGGGAACGTGCATTGTGCGGTTCCGGTTCTGGTTTTTTCGAAAAATGCAGGGTACCCAGAACCGCTCACCCCTAGGCAAGATAGTTCAACAAACAAATCAAAATTTTTTATTCAGATGGTGGAGGTGAGTTTCTTAATTCTAGATTGACATCTCTTTTTTTGTCAACAGGGATAGTTCATCAAATATCCCGTCCTTATACTCCTAAGTACACAGGTATAGTTGAACAACGTCACATAATTATTTGATAATTAGGAATGACCATGCTTTTTCATTGTGGTGCTCCCTTATTTCTGTAGGTAGAAGCTTTTATTATGGCTATTTATCTGATCAATCAGTTACCGTCATCGACGATTAATTTTGAAACTATTTTTTTTATTACATGGAACTCATCTTGTGTATTATTCATTTACAGTTTTTG